TCTGAAGATATATATGTTTCTCTCAGCGCAAATGAATATAATTTTATAATTATACCGTAATATTAAAGTTAAATGTATTATAATGTGAGAAGGATTAACTTTATTATTATATATGTATGTGTATATATTTATATATATATATATATATATATATATTATAATAGCTAAAGAAAGTTTTATATTTTTAAAACTGTTGTTATAATCCAAGCTTTGGAAAAAAGAAAGAAAGAGAGAAAGAGAGAGAAAAACGTATAAGATTTTAGAGTTTATACAGCTAATCTCTTTCGTAAAGTTAATTTATATTTAAAAAAATAAAAATAAAGAGTAATCAAGTTTTTATTTGTAGATCGTACTTCTATCTGCTGTTGCATGTGTGGTGGAGCTAAAATCGGATTTGAAAAAGCAAAAACGCGGTGTAGCATTTTTTGGGTCGCCTGATTTATTTGGGATTATGCCAGCATTCAGTTCTGCGTCATGGGCTCCCACGAATTTTGCGGCTTCAGCCTGGAATCCAGGCTTGAGTACTCCAGATATTACGCTCGCACAAGTTCAAGTTCAGGCCGGACACAATGTAGCACTTCAGGTATATACATTTATTAATTGTGTAACAATATATAATATAATATAATATAATATTTGTATGTTATTATATAATTATTTAGTATACATATAAAAGATTTAAAAAACGCATTTTTTATTAATTTGTATGACAGGCGTTAAAGGACCCGGCACCTGGCACGCCCAGCATCGCATATCCTTCTGAAGTTTTGAAAGCGATTCAGCAAGCAAAAGAAGCGAATAACAATGTTGTCCTGGCCCAACATAAAGTTGCAGAAGCGAAGCAAGCCACGCTGTTTCAGCAGAAAATTGCTTTATCAAAGGAGATAGCAGCGAGAGAAGCTGCTGCCAGGTATATAATTGTATAAATATATAATTAATTTACTCGATTATTTGTTCTCTTCGTTATGTCTGACATATTCCCATAGATGATAAAATTATATCGACTGTGTTTCTCTTATATTATGATTTCATATTTTTTTATATAGATCGCAAAAAATTTCTCAACACGCAGAGGCCGAAGCTAAAGCCAGCGCTCGACAACTTGTGGCGCTTCAACAGAGATTAGCAACTCTAAAAGGAGCTGTAGCAGCTGCGCAAAGAGTAGCGGCAGCTAGAGAAGCCGCCGCAGCTGCGGCGATCCAAAGAAACGCAGCTGAAACTGCCGCGGAATTACAAAAACAGGAGGTTGATAAACAAATTAGCCAGAGCGAACAGGAAGCTAAGGTACTATCATAAAATGAGCTTTTTCATTAAATTTTTTAATAATATAATAATTTTTTTAAATATTATATATATA